GGGGGGGCTGGGGGGAATGGAAAGAGCCACATGAAAGCTCCACAGAGACAGAGCTAAAAAAAGGTCTGAAACGCCTGCAAAGGGCTGTGTCTCAGCAAGTAGCATGCCGCAGTAGGGCCGGGGGAGCAAGGGGGAACCCTTCGTTGCACCAGAGAGAGCGTCTCTCTTGTCACAGTGTCTGGGCGAGCTGTGGAAGTGAAGCAGAGAAAGCAATTCACAAGCACTTAACAATCTCAAATCAATTTAGAGCCACATCAGCGTTTGGTATTTACTCCAGAAAGGGCGGCAGCTGCTTTTGGTTTTCCCTTTCCTCAGCCCTCCTCCCCTGCCTCCGCAAACCCCCAACCCTCCCCAAGAAAATTAATTGCTGTGAGCACTTAGCGTCACGCTGCTCTTCAAAGAGCTGTTTGCTACCTGGCTCGAATGCCAACACCGTTATTAACCGTTCATGCATTGCAATGATGCAGCAAAGAGGCCGAGGCTAAGTTCCCTCGCAGATGATGGGGGAACAGTGGCCATTACCACCTCCACCCGGCAGCACGCGGGGACTGGTGATCAGAAGGAGCAGCAAGCCCTGCAGGCTCACTTCACATAGCACAAAGTGAGATAGTGAGCGCAGAGCAGTTGCAAGCAGCTTGCCTATAGAGATATGCACAAAGGAGGGGAGGTCTCATCAAGTCAGCAGCCTGCAGCCTCTCCCAGGATTTTCTGGAGCAACACAGACGTGAGGATGATGGCCGGAGCACCTCTCCTCTGTGGCCTTGTTTGGAGCCTAGCTTAGTTTGCTCATGACTGATCTGATCAGCTGTCAGCACCTCCTGCACGAAGGTGAGGTGAGCTGCGCCGTTGCAAACCCAGCCCTCACAGGCAGGGGCTAGCCCTTGGGTTGGCACTGTCAGCAGAGAAACAAGTGTATTTGTGCAGCAGCAACACTTGTGACTGGACTTTCCTTGTCCTGCCTCCTCTGGCTCAGCTCTGGCTGCCCAGAGAGCTCCCCCAGGGAGGTTTCGCAGCCCAGGCAGTCAGCAATGCTGCAGCCTTGGCCAAGGCATCAAGGGGCCAGGACCCTCACAGGCACTGCTCAGCTTCGAAGGGTAGCAGCACAGAGGCAGCAGGAGTCCCCAGGGAGCTGCTGCGCTCTTACAGCAATCGAGACCGTAGGCTGGGCCTGCAGGCACCAGGTGGGAGACGGCTCTTTGGTGCAGAGCTGAGAGCAGCCGTTCTGCTGCTTTGCTGCAGACATTAAAAGGCCGGTGATGAATAAACTCACAGGATCCAATTACTCCCTTTCCCTTTTCTCTCCCTCCTGCTGCACCTTGCAGCACCTTTATTCAAGCTATCAGAGGATCAGCAAGCCTCCAAGCGCACACGGATTTACTCAGCACAGTGGCAGCCTCTGAAGCATCTCTCCCACCTCCCAGCTTGGCAACACCAGCAGATCCCCACTCCCAGGACCAGCCACAGCCCCCACCCTGCAGCCCTGTGCCTCAAGGCTGTTTGCTTGCTTGTTTGCTCTGTGCCTTTTGAGGTGGAAAGCAGCAATACTTGCTTTGCTCCATCACCTGGGAGAAACACATCCCCTGCGGTGAGTCGTGGAAGGCCACGACTCAGGCTGCAGGGGCCCGAGCTAGCCCCAGCTTTCGTACCTAGAGAGCAGCCCAGGAGGAGGAGGAAATTCTCCCCTCCCCATTTCTAGCCATCCAGTTGTCAGGGCCTGGAGAGAGAGAGATGGCTGCTCTGAGGGCTGGGCCCCTCTAGATCTCACCTGAATGCAGGGCGTCCTGGCACAGCTTGCCACGTGCTGCCTCACTGCCCTGCTGGCTCCAGGACCCATCAGCCTGCCCATCCCGCTTGCGCTTAGGGTACAGGGGAGAGAGGGGTGCTGGGGGTGCAGTGAGAGGAGCAGTAGTAGGGGTGGAAGATACCTATCAAGAGAGGGGTTGGAAGGTGGCGCTGGTTACCCAAGGAGGGGTCATTTAGGAGGGGAATGACTTTGGGGTTGGCCTGGCTGGGTGTCAGCCACAGCATCTTGCCACGAGAACCAGCGAGCGATTCATCTGGAAAGCTGCGACGGCGCGACATTCACGCGCCCCTGCAGGATGGCAGAGGGCACCACACAGCCTTGATCTGCAAATCTATATGCCACCCACTTGTCATCATTAAAGTTCACTGGATGTGTTAGGTAAAGGCTGTGGTGTTTTGCCAGGACTAATGCTCCCTCTGGCTTTTTCTTCAGCTGGATATGATCAAAAGCCTGTTCACTTCATGCCCTAAATGCTTGCACAGTATTGCATGGCAACATCATCCCTTCCCTGCCCAACTTCCCTCTTCCACGCAACCTAATGATGGTACATTTAAATGCTGGATGAAATGTCTGCTGTCTCCTCAACACTTCTGAGAGCATTGAGAGCCTTTAGGATGGGACATTCTACGAGGCCACAGCTTAATATTTCACATCAGAGGAGCTAAGAGTTGCCCATCAGCTTTGCACCTCTGGCCCCAGCTCTAACACCACACTTGCAAGTACCGAGGAGGAGTTTGTAGGCTCAGGAGTCTGCCTCAAGGCAAATGGTTAGTGTCTGCACTAAACAGGAAGCACTGTGAAATTTCAGTTCCTTCACAGCTGAATCCCAGGCAGAGAATAGCCCACGTGCCAAACGCAAGCAGGACAGCAGAGGCTGTCCACTGGTGGTGAAAACATCAACAAATTCAGGTTGTGGAAAGGGGAGGCCAAGTGCAGAGAGCTGATTCAGGTTGCCTATGTTCGACAATCACAAATTGGGATGAGAAGGTGTCTTTCCAAAACCCTTTTAACATATTCACCTTTGAGAGCGTTCAGCAAAAAGACAAGGCACGAGTGTTACAGGGTCAGAGTCGGAGTGTTTGCTTGCTCTTTCCTCAGGCAAACCCTCATCGACGGACTACGGGAAGAGTGAGGGCTGAGCAAAACTGGCTGAGGAGTCCCACTGCTAACACTGAAGCACGCAGACTCCTGGCAGAGTCTAATGCCAATAGACAAAGCTTTTTCAAACACACGCTGCTTTCTATCTGCTGCATGTTGCCAAAAATGACAGTTAGAGGGGCTGCTAGTTAGTTCCCTTCCACGTTTAGAGCTAGCACCTTCCTCAGGCAGCATGACTTGCAATTGCATGGCTGCATTTAAGTGGTGTGAAAGCACAGGCTTGGCTGAGAACAGGCCACGGGTTCTAAAATCAGTGGTTAAAGCTACATCAGCTTTGGGGAGCCTCTCTACCACACAGGATCTGCTGGAAATCAGGGGTACGATGAGGGTCTTGTTGAGAGATGAGCTTTCATGCGCAGATGTTTGCGAGACCCAGACAGTGCTCCAGTCAGTCCGTCCAGACATGTCAGTAGGAAACTGCAAAGGCAGTTTCCTGTAGCTACAGGGGCAGCTACAAGGGGCCATGCAGTCGGTGACCATTGCTAGAGGGTCTCCTGGACTTCACTGTGTGCACCTGTCCACTTTGCAAGCAGAGCTCTCTACTTGTGAAGAGAATGAGAACGGCCCACCCACAGTGGCTAGCCTATAGGCTATAATTGCCTAAGCAAGGCACTGATTCAGCAAGACTGCTCACATCAGCAAAGATTATTCACGTACAGGCTGCAGGACCAATACTCCAGGGCCCCTACGATTCCTTATCGACTTAACAGTCTCGTCACTGTAGTTACCACCACTCCGTTCCCAGATGATGTCACACAGCCCAGAAGTAAGGGGAATCTCTGACCTGTCATTGCACAGGTTGGGGACAGGCTTTGCCAGGACGTTTGGTCTTACCTGGGCTTTTTTTTCTCTTAACAAAGACAGGAGGGTGTGTTGCTCCAGGTTCTGCCCCCATCACAGGAAAGGCTCAGAAAGCTAATGCCAGTGTCAGGGAGATGTTCTGTGCAGGAGACCAAAAACCCATGTTTAGTAATTCTCCATTGACAACTCCACCAATCAGACACTTCTAGGCAGTCCTGAACCACAGGGCTGTGCACAAACATGCACACGCGCGCACACACACACACACAATCACTGCCACAAGCAAGGACACTTCTGCAATCACTGACTCATTCATGCCCAAGCACACAGGCAGAGTCAGGTACCTTTTCTGGATCACATCCCTTTCCTCTCCCACACAGCCAGCAAGAGAATCAGCTTATCACAAAGGACTGACACATGCACTCACCCACACTTCTATGCCCTGCCTCCCTTCCCACAGGAAGGGACACACTGCGAGGTGGATTCTCACACTTGTGCCAACTGGGAAAATGCATTCTCATGGCTTGCTCTAAGGCACTGCCTGGTGGCTGACCCTCAGTTTAACAAGCTTGCTGACAGTGAAGGCAAGTTCCCATCCCATCCTTCGTGCCCAGCATGGGAGTCCCCTTTCACCAATACAGTTTCTGAGAAAGGCTGAAATGATCCGAGCGGTCACCTTCATCCACCCTTGCTGGCTACAGGAATCCTCGCAAGGAGCAGGGACATCTCCTGAGATCCCACGTATGCATGGCAAAAGGGAGGCCTCTGAACGAGGCTTTCTGGCACCCATCCTGTAGCTGCAGAGTCAGAGCCATCAGACCTGTCACTTGCACCACCGAGCAAGCAGCAGGTTTTCATCTGAAGCAGAAGCAGTGAAATGTCACAGGCAGTGACAAGACGAAATGCTCAGTGCACAACATGGGGATGGCGACGTTTCATGGATGGGCTGCAGCACGCTCCCGCAGGCAGGCCGCAGGCAGGCTCAGTACAGATCTGGGTGGCAAGGAGTGGTGCATCACCCCAGCAAAATGACACCAGCTCTGCTACCGCATCCCAACACACATCTGACACAGCACCAGAGGACCCGGACGTGGAACAAACCTCTTGGGCAGAGGAAGGACTGAGGTGGCATTTCATTCGGCTTGTAAAGAGTTAACAGCGCTGCCTGACTTCGCTCAGTAGTAAAGAAATGGAAACGGGAGTGAGGTTAGAGGCCAAAGTGTCACCCTGAGCACACAGCCAGGCATTCCTCTCCTGAAGGTCCTCGATGTAACACATTTATTTGGCTGTGTGGCAGCACCGTACAATACACGTACATTACCAGCAGTTTCAGAGCAGTAACCTGGCATTCCTCCTGTCTTCCCTGAATTTTGGATAAGAGGCGGGACCACTGTCCTTTCCTCCATTTCACTTGTGAGGAAACAGGCCAGGAAAAGTCCAAAACCACAGAGGCACTTGCTGACAAGACCGGAGACGAACCTCAGAAAGTTAGGCTCCCAGCCCACTGCTCTCACTATCAGGCTCCCTTTTGCCCTAGCACTGGGAGTGAATCCAATAGTGCCAGCTCTACGCTAGATCACATTCCTCTTTAAGAAACTCTCTGTGCACCTGAACAGAAATCAGACTAAGGAGACTCTGTAATTACTAATACAAACCCTATCGGATTTTAAAAGGATTTACTGCCTCTCTCCGAGGGTCTGTGAAATATTTTGGGGCATTCTCGGTGGGCCTGTGATTCTCTAAAATTTCATAGGATGATTCAAAAAACACTCAGGAAAGCTTTTTGTCTCCTATGCAGTCCCTCTGGAATTTGTCACTAGGGTCCTGTCCAGAAGGGGAACAGAGAGGCCATCGAATGTCCTGCCCTCCTCAGCACATCATATCCCCCCTTCCCTTTCCTAAAGCATAAAACCACAGAGCCCTGATACCCAGCTCTATCTCTCACTGCCACAGAGAAAGCTAACGCTGTAACAGGCAGGGACAGTGCAGCATGTAACAAGGAACAAGACCCCAAAATACCCCGTGGAATAGACAGAAACAGTCAGAAAGGCAAATGTGCCATGGAGAGCAGGAGAGAGCGTGCCCTCAGGCCTCTCCCACCAGTTCACATCAGTGCGTGGAATGGTGCATCCAGCTCAGGAGAGCAACGACCCAGTTCCCCAGCCGGGACCCCTTCAGCCACAGGAAGAGCTCATACAAGTTGATCTGCCACAGGCTCAGGGCTTCTGTGAGTGAGATCTGGGCCCTTCTGTAAAGTGAGCGATTCTTGCTCCTCTGATACCTAGAAAGAAAAACAGTTGCATTAGATCCTGCAACATGCAGCCTGGCAGGAAGGAAGCCTGTCCTACATTTTCAGTACAACAAATCTTCCCCATGGGGAGGGGACTATCCCATTCCTGGAGCATCACCAGCAGTGGGGACTCCAGGGAGCAGGGATTTCCTCCAAGTAAATATTCCTGAGGAGCTGGGCTGCTCCAGCCAACAGGGACAGCAGTGTACCTCTGTAGCCTTTCCTGGGTAGCACGTTCATAAGAGCCCAGCAATCCTGATAACCGGATTCCAGGAAAAATAATTTTCTACCTTTCTTTAGAAGCAGAGGTTAACTGGGCCTCAGAGTCCCCTCATCAGCCAGAGAAATAACTGTTATTTCTTCCACAAGGAGGAAGAATCTCAGGCAGTGGAAGTAAATTGACTTACAAGAGTGAGTAGGGATCAGATCCACAGATGGAAACTAGTTGCCTGATTCCTGTTCCTGAGTTTTGAGAGTTTTAATTACCACCCTGATTGTCATGACCAGCCCTGATCCCTAGATCAGGCTGCAGAAACAGACAGCCATGAACTTGCAGATCTTTTCTACCTGCAAGTACTTTCCAATAGTGATGCCTATAATAGGTAGGAAGCCCCTCCCCCTCTTCTGGAGAGAGCTACAAGGCCAAACCCAAAACTTTATCCCAAGGTCTCCAACACATCCGTATCCCCAGCCCCAGATGAGAGACTGGTCCTGAGAAGAGGCTGGTAAGAGTGGGGACAACATAGAAAGAGGATGAGATGTATAAATGAGAAGGGGTAGGACCCAGGAGATGTGGAGAGGTCCACAGACAAGGGTAGGAGGTCACGATCCAAGTTAGGCCTCTGGTGCCCAGGGAAGAGACTCACGTGGAGACAGCTCTGATGCAGCAGCGAGACATGTTGAGGAAGGAGCTGGCACTGGCCCGCGTGTGCAGGGCTGACTCAATCCCTCGTAACAAGTCGTTGGTCTTCAGCAGCAGCAGCATCTGGCGGGGGACATTGTTGAGGAGCTGGGTGATCTGGGGTAGGTAAGCAGCAGCGTTGGACCGGATTTCCACATCCTGCAGCCAGCCAGGTCATGGACATGTCAGGGAGAGAGGAGAGAGTTTGAGAGAGCATGGGAAACCCACGTCCAGATGCAGCTGAGATTTGGCAGGAGGAGAAGGTGTTTTGCCAGACCATTACTGCAGGCCAGAAGCTAAAAAGCTCTTCCTATTGTTTTGCTGCAGGCAATGGGCTGTCCCAAGCACTTACAGCACAGGCACAGCTCATTCTTGCCATATTCCACCAACCCTTAGTGGGATAAGGACCCTTCACCTCACTGGCAGGATTAATAACCTCTCGGGACAACAGGGCACTTGCTGCTATCTCAGTTCTTGGCCCCACGCAGCAGACAGCAATCAGGCATCATTACTGCCCTTGCAGCTTTCAGACCAAAGTTTTGCCTCACCAATTCAAAAGCTTAGAGAGCTGAAGGTACCACAGGACTGATCAGGAAGGTGGGGGAAAGCTGGCCAGACAGCTCCTTGTCACTCATATTTTGCCATCCCATGCAACTGATGGCTCCATGTTATACGAAGGAAGCTGTTTCCAAGGTCTAGTTTAGTCCTCTTTCATCAACACACCTCAAGAGGGGTGAGAAAACATCACGCTTACCTTCATACTAACCCACAAATTCACAAAACACGTCACATTAAGTCAGATTAGGGGTCCATCTAGTCCTGTATCTGTCTGGCAATAGCAGATGCTTAAAAAAAAACACTCTTTGGTCTCCCAGCTTCCAACAAATACCCTCTCCAAGGCGAGATCCCTGCTCAGGATCACAAAGCCTGATGAGAACCATCAGGCAAGGGTTTGGGCCACTTAACAAGGGCTTCCCTCCAAAGACAAGTAGCCTTAGCATGGAAGGCAGACAGCCCCCAGTCTTCTGCCTCTTTCTAAACCTGAGAGTTCACCCAGCATCCTAGTGAATGTGGCAACGCGTGGTGTGGAGCTGATCTCATACACATACAGTGTCCCTTCCTCTTCCTCCGGAGGTCATGACACAAACCAGAAAATCCAAATAAAAGTCTCTGCCACATTTGAACACTCCAGAATCCAGCAGGGCACATGCAGAGGGCAGTAAATGTGACTTCCTCTAGTGGGAAGGGGTTCCTTTTGGGCAAAGGGGAAGGATAGGTCTAAAACCTTCTCTCCTATAGAAAGAGGGATGGCAGCCTTATATTTCATGATAGAGAATCTAACACTCACCCTTTGTGAACTTAAGATTTATTATACAGGGACAGACCAATGGGCTGTACAAATCTACTGTCCAGGTTGGGACACTCAGAGATGCATACAGCTCATATAGCATCCTGGTTGCTTTGGTGCCAACATATGGATCCCCATGCCCTGCCTCTGACACTGACCAAAGGCACACAGCTTCAACAAGAAGAGGCTTAGCTCTCCTAAATGCTGTTCCACTGTTTGCTGGCAGAAAATTTCTCCCCGAGATTCTTATCCTTTTGTCTTAGCCAGCACTGCTGCAGAGGCTATTTTATTTTGCACATATAGGTAATCTCCTGTTTTCTTTCCTATTTCTTTCCTTCTTATTTTTAGCTCCAGCTGTTTGTCCACATCACAGAACAACCACATCATCTGTCATCAGAACTGTCATCTTCTGTCAAGGATGAAGCCTGTGCACAGGCAAAAAAATGAGCTATGCCACAGGACCTGAGAAAAGCCCCTTGGCTGCAATAGCAGAGGCTGCTCCAAGATGGAGCAAAACACAATGATAAGATCAGATCAGATAAGGCTAGCAGACACCCTGAGTGGTCAGCTGCTTGGCCTTGGCTCACGGCAGGAACAACTACACCTCTGGCAGTCCTCACAGGCATTTGCCTAGCCTGCTTCTAAAACTCCCTAGCAATGTGACCCACATCCTCCCCAAGACCATCTACACCAGTGTTTCACTACCTTCGCCATTAGGTATTGCTTTTCTCAGAGTTAACCTAAATCTCCTTAGCTGAACTTTAAGCCCATTACTTCTTGCCCTGTTTGCAGCAGTTTTTAACAGATTTGAAAATCGCTATTATGTCTCTCTTCAGCCTGCCCTTTTCTAGACTTTTTCTGCCCTAGCTTGCTCAGACTTTGTTCATGGGTTGCATCTGCTTGACATCCAGCTCTTCTTGTGGCTTCCTACTGAACTCTCCCCAGTTTCATCAAACCTTTTTCAAAATGCAGTGCCCAAAACTGAACACAGCTAAGACTGAACATAGCTAAGGCTTTTTATCAGGAGAGTTACTTCCTTGTCTCATAGGCTACTCTCTTGTCAATAGGTCCCCGTGCACACTGTCCAGAGCTCTGTGCTTATGGCACCTGCCTACACAGTGCCTGGCTCTTGTTCCTGAGATACATTCTCTTAAATTCACCTCCAAACTAAGGGCAAGAAGCAGCCCATTTCCTAATGCCACAGCAAATCTGCTCAGCTTCCCATTATCTGAGGCAGGATTATCCAGTTTCAGCATGAGTCGTGCAAAGACAACAGAGCTGGCTGCACACAGGCAACTCAGCTCTAACAAAGTTCATTAGCCCGCGCAAAGTTCATTAGGCACCATGTGGCTGCAGTCACATCTCTGGCATAATTTACACAAGCCACTTACAGATGAATGTGGCTTATTAGCTCAGACTCAACACCAGCCTTGCATTGAAGTCAGATTTTTGCCAGGTCAGTTGCCTCTGAGCTTTATTTCTGGAGCAACCAGCTCCAGAACTTATCAGATCAAGCACAAACCGCTAGACAGTACTTATGTTATTTCTGATACACAGAAAATAAATTAACTCAGGTATGAAGCAATCATATTACTGGGGTGGGAGGGGGGGGGTTCCATTACCCAAGGTATCTGAACTACTCATTATTGTGGACAATGGCACCACAGTACAGCAAATTCAGCCACATTCATCAAAATCAAACCATGATCCAAAGGAACGTCTAGAAAAGAATTTCACAGTACAATATTTTAATACTACTTAAATGAATTTCATCCTATCTACTTACAAATACACCCAGATAAAAACAAACCATAGGATACAAAGTGTTCTTCACCACAAACACTGGTCCATTTATTCAAACTACATCAATATAAGCTGATCTCTATAAACAGCACAGCTGATGGGGACTGCTACTATTAGTGTGTCAAGAGTGCTAGGAGGTGTGAGAAGGACCCCAGCATGTGTGGATAGGAAAGGGGAAGAAAATATAAGTGGCAGTTTCCCAGATTTGTAGTCATTCAGTTGACAAAATTTGCAGTTAAGCAACCTTGACTCCACGTTAATAGGGTTTCTGATTGGGACGTAATTTCCAAGGGTTTTTAGGAGGATGTATCAGTGTTGATAATCATTTACATGAATAGTGATAATGTATTATCTTTCTCATGTCTTCCCACCAAGCCTTTATGTCTCCTCTGCCTCACCTTATCCTCCTTGCTGGTTTCCAGCACAGATGCATTCAACACTTTTCTTTTTCAGAAAGGGTTGATTTACAAATGTTTCCTCTGCCAGAACTGGTGAACACTTAGCCATTAAAATACTCAAAATTCAAGCAACCCATGACAGGTCAAACTGGGAAATTAAGTTCTGCCACCATAAAACACATAGCAGAAGGATGCCTGGCTTTCTCTAGCTCAGTCATCAGTGCAGACTTTCCTACAGAGCTGCCAAGGATTGCCCAACAGCACAGCAATATCAGTGATACAGGTGGTTACAAAACGGAAAGGTGCCTGAAGAGGAAGGGCACACAGGACCTACCTCGCTCGCTGAGACCGGCGACCGGTCAATGCCCCTGTTGACAGACTCCCAGGACCTGGCAGTGAGCATGCAGGCAAAGAGAGGGTACAAATCCCCCGCCCCGAGCCGCCGGCTGTACTTCTGCACCCTCTTCATGTCAGCCTTGATGAGGGCCTGCCAAAGGCGACAGTAGTCCATGCGGAATGACTCACTCAGCACCTGGGGAGGGAGACGTGGCCCTAGGAAGTCCATGGAGGACAGGTGACCAGGGGAGAAAGCCCTGCACCCCGAAGTTGCTCCATGCCCCCCATTCTGCAGTCAGAAAATTCCCCAGGAGGGTGATGGGAATAATAGGAAAAACTCATTCCTACGGGTTTCAGGGAGCAAAGCTGCAGCCAGGCTTCCAGTCTGATGCTCACAGGCAGTCCCACAGGCCCTGGAAGCCCCCCCATAATCACATACCTGGTAGAGGCCATGGTCCAGGAGGATAATATGGGCCTTGCCAGAGGCTGGGCATTTCTTCACTAGCACGTTGCCTGGGTGCGGGTCACAGTGGACAAAGCCATTCACAAAGATCATTTCACTGTAGAGCTTCCCCAGATTGCGAGAGATCTGTGAGGAGGTAGAAGCTGGTCACACGCTGCACCCACAGCAGGACACCTGCCAGGGAGGGGAGGCAGCCCCCATATGCCGATACTGGAGCGAGGGGCTGGCACGTGCCGATAGTCCCAGGCAGAACTCTTGCAGCCCCTCACACTGACAAACGCGAGGGATCTACTACTGGCATCTACCACAGGGTCCCTCAGGGCGTTCAGGGAGCAGTCTGTGTAGGAGGCGTGAAGACGTTTATGGGGTCAGGGGCTATTTAAGGACATATGCCTGGCATATGAAGGAGAAAATCCCCATGGGGAAGAATGGTGCTGTCTGGTAATGAGGAGGAAAATTAGGGGAAAGGCGGTGGTGTTCTTAGAGCGGGTATGGACAGTCTCTGTTTGGGCAGGTAGGGGCAGAGAGACATTCATAGGGTAGGCATGGGAAGAGAGGGTGAGATGCCACTTGGGGGCAGACTCAGGTGTTTCCTTCCGTAGATGATAACAGTGCCAGGCAGAGAAAGGGTAGGGGGACACACAGCATGTCCATCTACTCAACAGAATTAATATGGGTCCCCCTCCCCTCCTTCCATCACCCTGTCTCCCATTTTCCCCCTTCCTTTCCTCAATCCCTTGCTAAACTGATCTATGAAGTCTGCGAAGATGAAGTGGCACTGAAAGGCCGCCATTTAAATCATCCTGTCATTGCTGTGTCTCTCCATGTTGCCACCTCCTCATCACCCAGAGATTTTATTAAAGTTAAAATCCTCCTAGGAGCAAGCAAACCTCCACAGGGCTAGGATCAGTGAGAGCAGCAGGCCCCTCACCACGCACTAACACAGCAGCCTCAGCCTGGCCCTCCCTGCCATCAGAGAGCAGCACATTGCTCCACAGTGGAGTGCTGAACAAACAATTAAAAGACCGTTGTGATAAATTATCTCAATCATGTCATCGGTCGCACAGCGTAAGCAGCAAACAGGCAACCCTCCCCAAAAGCAGAGGTGGTAAAAGAGGTAACAGGGATAATAAAGACAGCATGTTCTGCAGAAGAACAGAAAAACAAGGAAGAGCTTGCTTTACTCACCTCTGAAATGCAGCCACCTCTGAGAGGACTGAGACAGTTGTTTAAGAAGCCACAGAACAGTGCTGCACTATTATGTTAGGACAGGGCTTGAAGAGCCCCATATTTGGCTGAACCTCCAAGAGGACACGCGAGCAGCTGCAACAGGCCAGAAAACACCCACTCTTATGAAAGTGTCCCAAGTCACTACAAATGAGGAAGAGGAATAGGAACCCTTCCTGTTGCAGAGCAACAGGGACAGCTGTAAAATCACTTGGGACAGCCCTTTGTCCCTCTAGGCAGGACCTGAAGCCACTACTCACTCATGGGTAATGCTGCCCCCCATGCTGAATCACCCATGCGGGCAGCCATGTGGTCTCCTGTAGTGCAGTTTCCCTAATGCCACACAGGCGTTATTATAAATACTAAGGGGAAATATCTTCCCTCCTAAATCAACAGCAGAGATTACTGTAGCAATGAAGTGACCTTTCCAGGTCACCTAGATCAACCTGGTTTAGCTGTGAAATTGAATAGGACCAAAGTACCAGAAGCTGTGAGGTCCTAGAAGAGCTAAGCAGCACTGGCTGACAATCCAAGGATATGCCAGATAGACCATTTTGAGCCAGTTCCTCATTTACATAGCCTCCCAGGGACCTGCAGACCAGGAGGAATGGACGTGGGTATCATGACAGATCACAGCATCAGCTATGGTACCTGTGCTCACACTGAGCAAACTGCATTTCACCCTTTACTTCCAGCTGTCTTGTCCTCCAAGGACCTGGAATAGCACAGAACTACTGAAGACGAGGACTTTGGGAGAATGTGGGACACATCAGCAGAGCTTAGGGCAGGGAGATATCCAGCCTGCAATGTACTGGCAAAACCATCTCAGATCCCAGCCTCAATTAGCAGGGGGCTATGGGCCGGAGTTAAGCTGATAAACACAGCGATGAAAAAGGAGAGAGAGAGTTTCTCAGTGAGAAAGGCAGGAGTCCTAGCTCAGAGAGTTTTGCCTGTGGCTGGTGGTCCACCTTCCCCTCCAAGTGCTGTGAGGAGCCACAGTGAGGAGAGTCTGGAGGAGCTATGTCAGTTGAGGGTGGCTCACCACACAGCAATGTCCCTCCCCAACAGTGGCACGACATCCACAGAGCGCTCCGCCTGCCCACCGGGACTGTGAGCACATTAGGGCCAGACGGTGAGCGCTTGCACAGATGTAAATGCATTCATCAGTATTCACCATAAGGTGGTGATAATACAAGAGGTGCTATCTGTGCCCAGCATGCAGACAGACAGCCTAGCTAGCGCCCAGGCCATGTGCAGGTTGTATGCCATCCCTGCACATCTCCTGATTCTCAAGGTAAGGCTCTCCCTGCTGGAAGCATGCGTGATGGGACTCAGAGAGCATGAAAAACCTTGCACATGCCTGTGCTCTGAGTGCAAGTGGGATGCTGGATGCGAGCTCCTGTCATGCTTGCACTGGAGGAAGAGGTTAGTTTAAACATCTTGGCTCATACCCATTAAACAAATCCAGACAAGGGTTAGCAGTTCTGCAAACCTGTCGGTCATGGCTAAAGCTGGGAAAGTTTACGGATTCTGGAGCACTGACGTATATGGACTGCTTCAAAGACAGCAGACTCTCCTTCTATGCTGTAGTAATGGTACAGGCTGGGAGGGTCAAACAGTGGAGCAGATTGCTCGGAGAGGTTGTGCAGTCTCCACCCTCGGAGGTTTTCAAGATCTGACTG